GCTGGAGAAAGTTTTGGCCCATCCACACATTGATCTGTTCTAAGCATCTGTTCAGTGATTGGATGGGGTCAGTCAAGGACCCCTCACACTCCGGCCACCACTTGCCCTCAGGGATGAACTTCAGGGCAATAAAGTACTGAAGTGTTCATGTTGTATAAACCCAGGAGGCTGGTTCTGTTCCTGTGATGAACGTCTCAGTTTTTTATAGAGCAGAAAACCTGAAACAGCAAATAGAGCCAGAACAGCTAAAACTGAGAGACCAACTATCAGTCCAGTGTTGGTCCCTCCATTCTCTGGTTGTCCTTCCTCGTTCCCTCCATCCTTTTTTTGTCCTTCATTGCTCCCTGCAGAACAGAACCAGGAGTTAGTCTGATCTGCTGAAGATCATCACCTGCTGATCTCAGACCAGCTGATTTCCACTGAAACAACACATTTAGAAAACCAAACATCTGATCTGACATGTTTCTCTCTCACATTAGTAACCATGAAGCAGCTGCAGGTTCTGATCCAGTCAGACTCACCTGGAGCAGAAACAAGCAGGGTGATGATGCAGATGGGTTCATTCTTCATGTGAGATCTCTTCCTGTGTTTATTTTTAATCCCATCAACTCGACATTCATATGTTCCAGTATCATTAATCGTCACATTCTTCAGAACCAAAGACATGTCTCCATTCTTAATCTCTCTGTCCTGTAGATCCACTCGGTTCTTATAAGCTGGATTCTGACCCTCATTATCAAACTGTTCATCTCGATACAGAGCAACATGATCATTTCCCTCCAGATCACATCTTCTCCACTCTACAATGATGACAGGTTTTTTCTCAGGAGCTTCACATGGCAGGATGGCGTTTTCTCCAGGTTCAGCTCTGATCGTCTCTCCTGCAGTGGAGGAAACAACACAGAGGTCAGAGGTCAGAGAGGAACCCTGATGAGGCATCAAGGACAGGACACTGGGCAGTCAGAGTGCAACTGCATTTCATGAAAGATAATTGTCATTTTCACCCAGAAGAGGGCGCTCACAGATCTTATTGTAATCTCAATGTCACAACAATACCTTGTTTACTTTTTTTTAAATCAGCAGTGTGAAACATGTTAGAGTTGATTTACCCATAGAAACTAGATAATTTATTCAGAGGGAAGAACCTAAAACATGCAGAGCAACAGAACCTGAGGACCTGAACTGAGAAGCTCTGCTTTAACACAACAAGTTTGTAGAAAAGCTCCTAAAGCCCAATGTTAGTGTTCACGTCCCTTACAGCTTTTCCACAGACAGACCCAGAAATCATCACACTGATCATACAGACACTTTGGTCAGGGAGCAGCTTCTGGTTCCCACAGTGAGGGTAAAACTGGAGGCAGAGACGGATTTATGGTTCAGGTGA